TTTTGAGGAGGGGGTATTTTGGGTGAGAACAGGGCGGGGAAACTGGTAAAAAGCGATTCAAGCTGGACTAGAGCAGATATTCTGTGCACTGAAGCCAAACAACAGCATGCAAGTAAGCTCTGCAGCTTTAGTGTGCATGAGACAGTAAATACTCATTAAATCACTCATCTTTCTCTGAGAGTGTGTACATATGCCAACTCAAATAGAACCGTCAGGCATATCATTTCTTTTTGGGTTTCTGCAGAGGATTTTGTCATTCTGTTTAAACTATTGCACTACCATAGACTTTTGTTGAATGTTTGTGCTTTACTACTAAAGCACAGTTAGTTCCTCTAACACATTTTTTTTTTTTACTACAGCCTATTTATCTCTCATTTTGAAAGTGTATATTAGTACGTAATTTGTTGTATATTTTTGTAATATACTGTTAATAAAGATTTCATCTTAGTTGATGTTGTTGATCATAGGTAATTATTCTTCTCACAATGCCACACAAAGCAGGAGAGAGTTGATTAGATTTGGCTAAATCATCAACAATAGTGGAGAAACACTATGGAAAATCCATGTGATTGGATTTTACAAAAGCAACAAGTTTTTAGAGATAATGCTTAAGGCAAATCTGGTGAAGCAAAACAAATGGAGTGTATCAACAATAGACAGTTAGGCCTATATTAGCCTGTCAGTGGAAAACTAATGTTAACAGCTGTGATCCATAATCTGATTGCATAAACATGGGTGTTCCTTTGTATGCCCGCTATGGTTTAATACACTACTATCTGTAATTGTGACCTTAATTGTGTCATCTCACCTCCGTGATAAGTTCTGCACAGTTGCTATTCTTATCCTGTGATATCTGATCTCAACACCATTTCATTAAACAGCACGCAGTGAAAGATTCACTCTATATGAGGTATCAGATCCCCAATCCCATTTAATGCTCTTGACAAACATTCTTTTCCTTACGTGGGAGAACAAGTTTTAAACAGTGTTAAGGATGCTCCTTATTACTGTTTAAACAGAACAACAATTTTCAAGTTATAAAAAGATATTTTGCTCTAAAAGCGTGGAAGGAGAGAGTCAGAAATTGAACAGAATCAAGTTTCATTTTCTCTTACTGGAAAGCTAGCAGTAAGCTTTTTTCATGCAGGTCTGAGATCAGTTGTCTTCTGATTCAGGGTTTTTGTTATAGAAAAAATGCGGAGTGATTCTACTTTCAGACACTATTTGCTTATGTGTGTCACTACAGGACTGCAAATTTCTTCTTTACCTTCTTTCTTCCTGTAGATGTCAAAGTTAGAAAAAAGAGGAGGAGCTAAACAGGAGAAACAGGTAAGACCAGGAGAGAAAGAAATGAAAAAAAAAAACATGGAGCATGAAAATGGCTTCATTCAGAAGGAGCAAAAAAAATAAGAAAGACACTTTCTGGACCAAGTCAAAAACAACGAGAAAAAAATGTAATTGCTTGTTTTTTTGTAGGAGTCTAAAGTGAAAAAAGGGGTTTGGGTTCAGATAATAAAATGGATCTAAATTAACTGGAAATAAAAAAAATCCCACCACAACTTTTTTGGGACAAACAATTTCCTGCTGTCCCATATGGACGATAAGAATTCAAAGAAAATCTCTGGATTTATTTATCCTTTTAACACTGTTCCTGAATCAGCCTTCAAACAGAAGCCAGCAGCCTTCAGAGTTAGGACAAACTTCAGACTGCTCTCTGATCAGTGGCAAGTGGGTTAATGCTATTGGTGCGAAGTCACACAATTACCAGCAATGGGGGGCCTTGGCCTTCAACCCAGATTGTGCAGCAGGCTTGCTGTTCAGAATTCTAATCTGTTTCTCCTTTGGAATTTGCCTCTGTAAATTTCCACTGCAAAAAAAAAAAAAAAACCCGCAAACAGACTGTCAGCTAGAAAATAAAAATGAACAAGGGTGTAAATACACATTTCCTGGTATGGTGTTGCTGGTACACCTGTTTCTCGGAAATGTGAAGATGAGCTTTCTTTGATCTTTTAGTCTTGAGAAGTTGCCATGCTATTCAAATTCACCCTATGAAGTAGCGTCCAATGGTGCTGGAAGCCTGAATTTAAACTGGAGCCATGGGGACTTGTGGAGACTGGCCTGATGCCTAAAAGTGTAGTTAAGCAAAACTGAATTGGCCAGGAGTAATGACCTAAGTACACACTAAACACTTAATAAAACTTTGTGCGTCTTAAACACACTATAAAACTTTGATTATGTGAAATAATAATAATAATAATAAAACAACTTCTAAACAATGATGATAAATCTAAAACATTAAAACATCATAATGGTCTTGTGGACAAAATTTAAAGTACAGCATGAGAAAAACGAGGTTAACATTTTCTCAATGGCTGAATTCTAAAATGTTCATTGTCCTTAATCTTATAATGCAGCACACAAATGTTTTCAAAAAGAACTATAATCCCATCTCATCTGTTGCTATCTTTCATTTGAGACATCTTTCACAATCATTCCTTTAAATGTCCACTAATTAAATCAATCAGGCATGTTGTTGAATTGATACAATAAAAAGTATTAGCATTTAAAATGTACCAGTAGCAACATACCAAAGCCCAGATTTATTTAACTTATTTCAAGTCCCAGTTATATGACATGTTGCATTATGGAAGTCTAAAAACTAAAAACCTTACATGTGTGAAAATTATAAATAGTTAAATGAATTGGTCCTGAATAGTGAGAATGTTTTCCTCATGTTTCACTGGAGACGTGCCAGCACACTAGCAAGCTACTGAGTGAAAGAGGAGGAGGAGGGTGAGAAAGAGGAGGAGGGCGTGCTGCTCAGATAAGCTATTTAAAGCTGAAACTTCTGTGCTCAGACCTGAAGCTTTCCTTGTTGTCATAGCTGAACGGGTTCTATCATCGCCAGTGAACTGTCAGTGATTTGGACAACATTTCAACTGTCGCAAGTCACTTGGAATTTGAAGAATTCTTTTGGGCGACAGTACCAGCGTAAGTGCGTTTCAAGAGAACAACCGGTGAGTCAATTTGATTAGCCTATTTAATATTATTTATAAAATTGAACACTGAATTATACAAATATGCAAAATTCAAAGTAAATATTAACTTTGCAGTCTTATAAAGGCTGTTAAACAATCTGTAGGGGTGTCAAAGTGGGAGCGTCTCACAGTAATAATTTTCTTGCTACAGGCAAGAAAATGGGCTATACGTTGTTAAAATGGTTTGTAATTTTAACAAGAAAAAAGTCAAATGCTACAGTAAAACGTGTTAAGTGGGTAGCTGTTAATGAAAATATATAACATACAATAATCGCAATTTAACTGTAAAACTGCTTTTGTGTATGAACTACTATACAGTGTAATCTTAATTGCTTCCAACAAGACAATACATGTATACTTTTACAGAAACATTTTTTAAATTGTGTTTAGTACAAAATATGATTCACCTTGTAATTTTTTTTAGATAATCTGTGTAGCATTGTTTTGTTTGTGTATGGAATACTGCAGTGTATGTTTATTTGTTCTTGCGTAAAGTCACATTTAGATTAATATTAATGTGACCTTATATTTTATCATCTATTTTACGACTATACCTACAAAATATAGGCAATCACAAAAATAACATCCCACATGCCTGGAACGTTTTAACAGTTTCTTTAGGCTTTTTAGGCTACATATTATGAAAGATTCCTTTTATCGTGTAGCACCGTGAATTTCCTGAGGGTTATATGCATTAAACCCGACTTTTTACTTAAGTACCAGATACAATATTGTACGTTACTAATTATAACACTTTAATTTTACAGAGAGTAAAGAACATTTACATTATCAAATAACATTTTCATTCAGTCTACCCAGAGTTCAGGCACTCTCAAAAACTCCCATTATGATCACTGAAGCTGTTCACACTGTTAAATGAATATATTACTTACATTTTTCTTACGCACATCTGCACTTTGTTGTTTCTGATAAGAGCATTTGCCAAATAATTCAGTCAGCGAGCAAGTGAACGAAACACCGCGTTTCGGCGATGACTCACCTGAACGCCTCTGATTGGTTATAGCATTCATAAGCTCAACAGAATCGTGTGTGGTTGGTTATAATGCAGCGCTGTTCAAACGCGTCTGTCTCTGGCTCAGCGCCATCCAAAGCGCGAACTCAGATTTGAATTTAGCAGCTGATGCTGTGCCGCACAGTGGGAGCGTCTCACAGTAATAATTTTCTTGCTACAGGCAAGAAAATGGGCTATACGTTGTTAAAATGGTTTGTAATTTTAACAAGAAAAAAGTCAAATGCTACAGTAAAACGTGTTAAGTGGGTAGCTGTTAATGAAAATATATAACATACAATAATCGCAATTTAACTGTAAAACTGCTTTTGTGTATGAACTACTATACAGTGTAATCTTAATTGCTTCCAACAAGACAATACATGTATACTTTTACAGAAACATTTTTTAAATTGTGTTTAGTACAAAATATGATTCACCTTGTAATTTTTTTTAGATAATCTGTGTAGCATTGTTTTGTTTGTGTATGGAATACTGCAGTGTATGTTTATTTGTTCTTGCGTAAAGTCACATTTAGATTAATATTAATGTGACCTTATATTTTATCATCTATTTTACGACTATACCTACAAAATATAGGCAATCACAAAAATAACATCCCACATGCCTGGAACGTTTTAACAGTTTCTTTAGGCTTTTTAGGCTACATATTATGAAAGATTCCTTTTATCGTGTAGCACCGTGAATTTCCTGAGGGTTATATGCATTATCAAACCAATAAACTATTCCACGTACTCTCTATCAACAAATAGCCTGTAATCTTCAGAGGGCAATTTGTTCATTAGGTTTTCATCACTTGGCACATACGTTGTTAAAATGGTTTGTAATTTTAACAAGAAAAAAGTCAAATGCTACAGTAAAACGTGTTAAGTGGGTAGCTGTTAATGAAAATATATAACATACAATAATCGCAATTTAACTGTAAAACTGCTTTTGTGTATGAACTACTATACAGTGTAATCTTAATTGCTTCCAACAAGACAATACATGTATACTTTTACAGAAACATTTTTTAAATTGTGTTTAGTACAAAATATGATTCACCTTGTAATTTTTTTTAGATAATCTGTGTAGCATTGTTTTGTTTGTGTATGGAATACTGCAGTGTATGTTTATTTGTTCTTGCGTAAAGTCACATTTAGATTAATATTAATGTGACCTTATATTTTATCATCTATTTTACGACTATACCTACAAAATATAGGCAATCACAAAAATAACATCCCACATGCCTGAAACGTTTTAACAGTTTCTTTAGGCTTTTTAGGCTACATATTATGAAAGATTCCTTTTATCGTGTAGCACCGTGAACTTCCTGAGGGTTATATGCATTATCAAACCAATAAACTATTCCACGTACTCTCTATCAACAAATAGCCTGTAATCTTCAGAGGGCAATTTGTTCATTAGGTTTTCATTCATCACTTGGCACTGTTTAAAGGGACAGTTCACCCAAAAATGTACTCACCCTCAAAGCATCCTAGGTGTGTATGACTTTTTTCTTTCAGTCAAATCCAATCGGAGTTATATTAAAAAACATTCTGGCTCTTCCTAGCTTTATAATGGCAGTGAATGGGTGTTATTTTTCAATAGTCCAAAAGAAGTCCAATAAAGTGCATCCATCCATCATAAAAAGTGTCCCACATGGCTCTGGGCCACATGGCTTGTTTTACCTTTGCTGTAAACAAAACTTGGTTCTCGCGAGACTAGCATATTCTCACCAGAGCTTACACTACACTTATGTCGTTATCCGTTAGAACGCCACTCTTTCATGAAAGCGTGTACGACAGTTAGCGGAAGCTAGAGATTAAGGTTTATAAAGTTTTATATGAGACTTGAGATTCTGAAAGAACATAAATCACATGCAAGGTCAAAAGTCTATTTTTATTTATTGGACGCCAAAAAGGGCCATCAGCCACTCATATAGTCTAGCGGAAGCTAGAGATTAAGGTTTATAAAGTTTTAAATATGGATTTTTTTCTTTAAAAAAACACATAGATTTGCTTCAGGAGGCCTTTATTAAAGGGGACATAACACACACAGTTTCACCCAATCTCATGTTGATCTTGAGTACCTATAGAGTAGTAGCAGTGTGGTTGAAATGATTGAAAACGCATTCAACCTATGCAGTGCTGCAATTCACAGTCTGCAGTTCCAGGAAAAATGCTGTGGAGCTCTAAATTAATGACAAATGAAACTGACAGCCCTGGTTTGTTTCTGAGGGTGTGTAATTGAATGTGTGCATAGCCAGTGTCTTATTCTCAGAAAAGAGGCTGGGGATGAAGGAGTGTCATAAGTGAAGTGTCGTAACTATATATTACCTATCTGTTTTAAGCAGCAGTCCTCCAGAGTGTACTTAACCTATAAAAGACAAAACACAGGCATACCGATACACAAACACATCTCACGGTGTTTAGTAAATGACATGGAGCGGGTCATCATGTTAGGTCACAAGTCTAGATTAAATACCCTATAAGGATGTGTGTGTGTGTGTGTGTACGCGTTTGTGTCTACAAGATCTTGCTTGTAGTATTCATAAGTGCATGTCTACATCACTAGTAAACAACTTAGCTCTAAATCGTACACATCTTACATCATTTCTGGGTCTCTGGGCAAGAACCTAAAAATTAAATAAACCAAGTACCGTCTGCAGTTCTGAATCATGACCGGGATCTTTTATAGCTGGGACCGCTCCATCTTCCAGTATGAAACGATGTGCAAATCCAGCGTCGAACTGGGCCTTGTTTATAAAACGTTCGTCAACAAACACACTTGCAAAGCTCCGTTGCTGCCCCGGAAAAACAAACTGCATCCACTGTTCATGTGTCTACAAGATCTTGCTTGTAGTATTCATAAGTGCATGTCTACATCACTAGTAAACAACTTAGCTCTAAATCGTACACATCTTACATCATTTCTGGGTCTCTGGGCAAGAACCTAACCAAAAATTAAACCAAGAGGAAAGAAACCACATTTTCTGTTCTTATGCCTCCTCATCCACTTGTCTGGGCCTTTTTTCTTACGCTTTTCGTCACAAACTGAACACACACAGAAATAAGAATGAAACCTAAAATTCCCATGACGAGCGCTTCGTGTGTGTACGCGTTTGTGTCTACAAGATCTTGCTTGTAGTATTCATAAGTGCATGTCTACATCACTAGTAAACAACTTAGCTCTAAATCGTACACATCTTACATCATTTCTGGGTTTCTGGGCAAGAACCTAACCAAAAATTAAACCAAGAGGAAAGAAACCACATGGGGGACGTTCACAGAGTAGCAAGAGAGAAATCAAAATCATTTAACTCATTTTGAGATACTAACAATCTTTTACAAATCAACACTCAAATTTATGAGACTTGAGATTCTGAAAGAACATAAATCACATGCAAGGTCAAAAGTCTATTTTTATTTATTGGACGCCAAAAAGGGCCATCAGCCACTCATATAGTCTTTATAAGAACATGTAAATACTACAGATAAAGACACTGAAAACTACTGATACTAAAAAGAAGGAATTTAAACAAGTGTGAATTCACAGGTTGTCCTTATGCTGTAGACTTTAATGAATACACAAGCTTGTTGAGGAAAAACAGCAGTGTGGTTGAAATGATTGAAAAGGCATTCAACCTATGCAGTGCTGCAATTCACAGTCTGCAGTTCCAGGAAAAATGCTGTGGAGCTCCAAATTAATGACAAATGAAACTGACAGCCCTGGTTTGTTTCTTGAGGGTGTGTAATTGAATGTGTGCATAGCCAGTGTCTTATTCTCAGAAAAGAGGCTGGGGATGAAGGAGTGTCATAAGTGAAGTGTCGTAACTATATATTACCTATCTGTTTTAAGCAGCAGTCCTCCAGAGTGTACTTAACCTATAAAAGACAAAACACAGGCATACCGATACACAAACACATCTCACGGTGTTTAGTAAATGACATGGAGCGGGTCATCATGTTAGGTCACAAGTCTAGATTAAATACCCTATAAGGATGTGTGTGTGTGTGTGTACGCGTTTGTGTCTACAAGATCTTGCTTGTAGTATTCATAAGTGCATGTCTACATCACTAGTAAACAACTTAGCTCTAAATCGTACACATCTTACATCATTTCTGGGTTTCTGGGCAAGAACCTAACCAAAAATTAAACCAAGAGGAAAGAAACCACAACATTTTCTGTTCTTATGCCTCCTCATCCACTTGTCTGGGCCTTTTTTCTTACGCTTTTCGTCACAAACTGAACACACACAGAAATAAGAATGAAACCTAAAATTCCCATGACGAGCGCTTCCACATGTATAATGTTTTGCTTGAGTTATGAAAATGACTGAGAGGAAAAGAAGTGAGAGGAATGAAGAGGTTATTTTTACATAATTTACAACACAAATCATTTTATCTGCAGTCTCAAATGGTGACGCTTTATGCCTATAATGAAAAGAAGCCTGAAAACTTGAAATGAAACAAACTGAGTTAAACCAAGCCGTTCTTTCTTATCACTTCGACTCTCTAAATAATCAAGATCTGAAGATATAAAACTATAAAATGATCATAAAGCTAAAACTCAAATCAAACAGCAAAACAAATGTTCATAACATGCTGATATGTTTGCAGGCAGATCTGAATAGATGTTGTCCAAAAATATTAATTGTTCCACAATACAAGGAGCTATTCCAACACGTACAAAATTCTCAACACAATTTATTTCTAAAAGACATTAGTGTTTTTAGCTTTTAACAATTAATATTCAGAATTTTGCATGTTTTGTCCTCAGGCAAGTTAATTAAGCTGAACAATAGCATGAGAAAACTCCTCTGATTTATGAGAGTTCATAACAGAAATAAAAGAGATGGGATGGGTGGGAACAGTGTTATGTATGACAGTAAACGTCCATATTACTGTGGCATGTGGTGACATGGTTCTGTGACAGCAGTTTTACTAGCACACAAACATTCTCTTGTGTTGAGTGTTAATGTTTGAGAGCAACCTGTAGTTGGAAGGAAAACATGCCCTGATTTTTTTTTAATGTTATGCCTTGCATTTCAAGCCCGACAACTATGATCTCATGACTTATTACACAAGCTTGTAGTTCATGATCCCATTCAGCATGTATTTTTTTAATGTGAAAACTTTAACCCAAGAATAAATATGCAAGTCGGCCCCTAAGGTATTACGTTGATTAATGGACTGGATTAATAGAGCATTTCAAAACAGTGTAAAAAGCCAAGTCATTAAAAATTAACCATTAACCCTGTATACTACAAACCAAAGGCCAAACCTGGGAAAAGGTGATAAGAGTAGCACTGGCCACTTTGTCGCAAAAAGCTCTTAAGGACACGTTTGTATTTGTCTTTGGCATAGGTTTCTGATGGAAATTAACTAAGTCATAGTAGAAACCACTCTTTAACCCACATACTCAACAACTGCAGGGCATGAATCACTTCGAACACGAGTTTATAAACGAATTATGAATAATACGCTTAGCAGCTGTCAAAAGTGCTTCATAAACTGCTAGGCGAACTCCCTATATGGCTAACATGGCTAAACTGACAGTCTCTATCAGGGAACTTGACCTGGCGTGTAATACCCAATCACGGATCAGATGACTCCGTTCAGTCTACCCACTGACGTCGCTACATGGGATTAGACAGCAGAGCAGAGGTTTGCACACACAAGGCTGTAATGAGATTATACAGTACAGTACATAAAACCCACGGTGACCGGGAAAATTTTAGACAACTAACAATCACAACAAACAACAGCGGTTTTACCTCAATAACCACAGAAGCAACAGATGGGCATTAACAATCGACATTTTTGCTAGTTTAGAAACGTTATTTAGTGTTTTTGTGATAGAGCAAAGTCAGGCCAGAGTCGGTTTGTCTAACAGGTGTTTATCTTGTCCTTCTTCTTTTTTTCTTCTTCTTCTTCTTTGGAATTTTTGACGTATTCCGCACCATAGGAACATACCGCCACCAACTGTTTCTAATCATACATGGATGATAGTCCCGCCTCTATTCACATTTTATTTATTTATTTATTTATTTATTTGTTTATCTTGTCCTTTAGCTCCCCCTACTGATATGGGTGTAAAAATGCTGCAGTGCTTTCCCTTCTACAGACGCTGCAAGGAGAGGTGCAAAAGACAGTGCCCTCCTGAGACGGGTAAGAAATGTTCTCAAACTTTATAACTTTTTCAGATAAATCCAAAAGGTAATTTATAATCTGGCCAAATGATAAATTGGTAGGTGACATGGAAATTCAAGCAGTGAAAACTGTGTTGTCTAGTGTGACATGGTATATATATGTATATATATATATATATATATTTTTTTTTTTTTT